TGTTTAAAAAAAAATTAACCCTTTTCTCACAAGGCATTGGCAGTTGTTGAAAAGACAATTGGGGAAGTCTCAGGATATATATATGTACATTCAGCTGGCTTGTCTTTGTAGCATTGCTTTCTTTGCAAATTGTAGTTTTCTGGAGACTGTTCTGGAGTTTGAAAAATGTCAGGGAAATACCACATTGTATAGAATACTATGTTACAAAAAATGATAAAGGGCCCTTGCTTATCAATAGTGACAAGGTGCTTGTGTAGCTCTTCTATTGCTTTATGTCAAACAGACTCTACTCAAATAATGTTATATAATTATCTGCAGTCGTATAATTCATGCAGTGACATGGATACAGGTAACGTATATTTGTTTGCTTACGTCGTTATGTTTTAAGTGCATCATAATGTGCCATAATATCCTGTTACATGTGAATTTAAGTCACTTGTGCATGAACAGGAAGAATATCTAATAAACTTTTTATTCTACATAACCGAAAGGCTCAAGATTAGGAAACAGCACTGTTCACTATCTTTGTTTTAAATGTCATCTTGGTCTTAACATCTTTATTCTTTCAGGAAAGCAGTTGAGAGCTTGGCTCAGGGAGGTGATACTGAAGTACAACGTGTGAAAGAAGCGGCTCGGAAGAAGGTGGAGCAAGTGGAAGAAATCCTGACCAGCAGAATCAACCTTTTGGAAGAGGCAAGTTTCCAGTCCTGGAACATGGTTGAATTCATTATTGCTTTTGCCCTGGCATCTTTGTTTTTTATCTGGGACATATAGGATGATGACCTGCCTAAGTTTTTCTTCTGGAGCTGTTGTTTCAGCTTTAAGGGAGGCATGGCAGGGAGTGGTTAGAATGAGAAGAGGATAAATGCAATGGAAGGGGAGAGGCATTGTCAATATTATTAAAACCTGTCAATGTAGAAGGTGGGCAGATTTTCTACCAGATTCTTATTTTTAATAGTTTTCAAGTACATTCAGAACAAGTTAGACTTTAGAGAAAAGGCTTTTAAATAATGCAAGCTTTACGAGCTTTTACTAGTCACATGTGCTCGTAGGCTAGGGACAGACATTACACACAAACTGGTTTAAGTGTTTAAACCTGTAACAACAGACATTCAGTGCACATAAACCAGTTTGAAAATGGCTGAAACCAGTTTGAGGTAAACCTGGTTGAATGTAGTAGCAGACTTAACTGATCTGGGTCAAACCAGTTTTATGCAATGTCTGTCCCAGACCTCTTGGTGGTTTAAGGTAAACCAGACTCTCCAAGCATCCCAGCATGCTGTCTGGGCTGGGTGGGGCTTTCTGCTCCACAGCAGAGCTGGCCCTTCCCCCCTGCTCCCTGGCCAGAGCTCTGGCAGAGACTTGCAAGCACAGAACGTTTGCCTTCTTTCTCTCTGCTAAGCAGGGATTATTCCCCCTACCTCTCTGCCTTATGCTTACACCTCAGCATTAGCTAGCAGACCACATACTGGCTATGGTTTGTGCTGTGGGAGACCACAAAGGTAGACAGGCTTTTTGGAGCTAATCAACTTTTGGAGCTAATCAATGGTAACTTAATGTTGTTCCTTGGAAAAGCTGCTTAAGAAGAGTTTGAGAGGCTTTGTTGTCTTAATGGGTTGATTAAACACTGAATTAGGGGTGATAAACATTACCTGCTGGGCTGCTCAGGAGGTGGGGAACATCAGAGGTCCTCCTGGGGCCTGGCCACGCACTCCCCCCTCAGCTCAGCCCTGTGGAAGGGATGGGAGTGCTGATTTAGCACCCCCCGGCTTCTAGCCTGAGCCACTGCAGGCCTACGCAGGCATTTTCTGGAATGAAAAGGGAATGTCTATGCACCTCCAAATTGGTTCAAGCTTTGGAGGTTAGACTAACCTGCAAAGATTGAATCAATTCTGGCTCAGGCTTTTTGAATGTTTGTTCCTAGCCTTAGGGAACTGAAGCCATGCTGTAATGGTCCATGCTGCCTGCCCCATCCTCAAGCCTGCTCACACTGGAGTTGTATATCTTTATCTACCAGTATGAGTTGGTGATATGGGGATTTTTTTTTTTTTCCCAGTTAGTGTTCATTTTGTGAGGTGACTGGATTATGAGAGACATTTGCATGGACCTGCTCCTGGGGATTTGGATTAAAAAGTATTTTTTGGTATTCTACCAACTTACTTTTTACTGCTATACCTACTTTAGTGGTAAAGAGAATCAGCTTATGCTAGACATTATCTGCAGCAGCATGAGAAGATGTTAACTTGTATATCACTATTTTGAGAGATCTCTGAGTAAAGCTTTCTTGAATAACTTGTTTTCAATGATTGGGATTACCTATGGCAAATATTGGTTCCAGAGGTGCTGCTGGTATGTTAACCAAGGACATGTATAGTTTCCAATTAATCCATGATAAATCTGCTGTTTGGGGGGACACGTGTGCATGCACATGCACACACATGGTTTGAGTGAGAAAGTATGGAAAGGGAGAGACTTTGAAAGATTTTTCTTTTAAGAAAAGAGGGAGGCAGCAGCATCACCTGGCAAATGAAATGTTTAACTTTTCTTTTGCTGGGAATGTTTGTACCTAGATTCAGAGGTGCATGTATTGAAAATATGCTGGAAGGTTCATTTGGGGTGATTTGTCAGGGGGTGATGGATTTTGGGGGGTGGGTGCTATTTGTGTACAGGAAGGGTAATGTAGAGCTTTCTTCGGTAGGAAAAGGTACTTGGTGCCAACTGGTATGCTGGTGGTGCACTTGCTTACCCCTACAAGAGATAATTGTTCTTAAGATTTATTGCTATAGTGCTGAGGCTAAGGCTCCTTGCCAGAAGGATCAAGCAGCACCCCTAAAGGAGTGAAGTTTTCCAGTGGGAGAAAAATCGCTCTGCCCTTTTCTGTTTGGTGGAATTTTAACATGAGGATCATGATAGTTGTCTGTTGGGATTCACTGGTGTTAGTCATTTTAATACCAGTGAGTGCAGAGAATCTTTATTCTACACCAAAGGGGTCTATTAGACCTGTGTTTGTCTAGAACTTCATGAAAGAGCAGATGAGCAAATACCATAATGTGAAGAGTACCTAGTCGGTGTTTTCGTACAAATTGAAAAGATTAGTGTTGGCCTTGAGGATGATTTTCTTAATGCTCATGAACCAGACATACGTTATTAATAGGCGTGTTTATGTAATGCTGTGTATTAATGCAGCTTAGGCATGATGTTGTCTGACCTGAAGATTTTTTTTTAGTTAATACAGATGCACAAAGATACAGAGCAACTCTTAAGAAACGGCCTGGTGATTACTGTGATAAAGAATTACTTTTAAAAGAGTATTTTTATTTTATTTTAATTAATTAATTTTTGAAATAGCAGTTTGAAGGAAAGAGAGCTTACTTGGCATATAACAAGGAGGTTATTCTGGGCACGGGGAACAATATTAACAAAGGCGCAAAACTGAAAGGAGTAGGGAGGATATAGAGAGAGGAAGGGTGTGTGGAATAAGTGCTTTATAATTTATTAGAAAATATTAAAGCTCAGGATGACAAAGCTCAAGGCACAAGGAAATACAAGACCTGAGCCAGGGGCTACAGAGTAGAGGATGGGTGTAGGGGTGTGAACGCAACTAAGTTGCATATAAAACATGCAGTCAACTAAGCCGGGGGATGAGGGGGTGGGAAGAAGGGGGAGAGGTTGTGATGTGTATATGGCAAAGAATATGCAGGAGACCCCACACAAGAATACCGCATTTGAGTAGGGAGATGGTTCGTAAAGCACACACACAGAGTAACAAATAATGACATGTGGGATACAGTTGTGGGGTAGGGAAGAGTCTGGGATTTCAAAAGTCCTTGGAGTCCATTAGGTGTAGCAGCAGGGGAGCAGTTGGGCAATCCCCTCTGCATCGCTTCTGGCTGGCAGTCTGGTGGGGTCTGTGTACTGGCGCTGTCTCATGATATCCCTGGACCAGCAGGTGGTGTCAGACATCATGAGGTGGTGCATCAGCTTGGTGTAGCAGTGGGATATTCAGCAGGTGCTCAGGACACTCTTGTTGCTGGGGTCCGATGCTCTGAGCACCCCGGCGATCAGCACTGTGACCGTCACATCGTGTACCCAGCTCCTCAGGACATCTGCCGGCGGCTGGTACATCTCTTGCTTCTGTTCACTGGCCTTAATGAAAGCTTGTCGCCAGTTCTCCAAGGCGATGGTGACATCTATCATCATGACATGCTTGCTGTCTTGGTTGGTCACAATGATGTCCATGTGCAGTTGGCTCTTGTAGCTTGGAATGGTGTGGTTGACAGATGCAGTCCCCGCTGAGGCCAGGATGATCTAGGCCGGTCGGTCCTGGACAGTGTTGCGGCACAGCTGCCATGCTCTTGCGTGGGGCTTGCAGGTGTACAGCACGTGGGCAAGATTCTCTGCTTCATAGCCCCAGCATTGGCACCTCCTGTTGTGGTTCCTGTACCGGAGGGCACCATTGAGTGGCAGGCACTTGATCTTAGCTAAAAGGGCTTTATGGTTATGGTCCAAATTCCCAGGAGTAGGTGCCTGCAAATGGCCTTTTGTAACCCAATCATGAGAGGGTGTGAGCATAGACCTGGAAATTCACAATGTCACCAACTCATACTGGTAAACCAAGGTCTACTAAATGAAAAGTAATCCAGCATATTTATTAACTATTTTTAATACATTAAAAAGATGGGTTTTATTTGTGCAGTCTGGACTATGTATGTTCTCCCTGACGACAACCTAGGTTGTCAGAAGAATTTGGCCTTAAATTTTGCATCTTGCCTGAATTCTGGTTTATGTTGCAGAGAAATTGCAGGCCAATGTATGGTGATAACACTTGTGGGAACTAGATGATGTATGATGGAAAGTGTTCTACCTGTTTTGCACTGTAGTTATGAATATTTATTTGTTCTTTTATTGAAATAAAGATCCCTTTAACCATTCTGGCTTTGATTTTTACGGTTTTTTTCCTTAAGGTAAAAGGTGATAGGCTAAGGCTTCATTGCCCACTGGTTAAATGTGGGAGTTAGGTCACTTTTGTTCCATTTCCACATACTTGCTGCCTCTTAGACAAGCCACTTCACCTCTCTGTGCTCAACCTTTCTTATTACTAAGAGGCAGATAATGTGCTTGTCCAAGAGAGTGTGCATGATTTTTATGTCTCCTGAAGGTTAATCTACTGATATTTGTTAAAGCATTTGGAGATCCTTAGTGAAATATTTTAAATACAAATTATATGAAAGATGCTAAACTTAATTAGGGGCTGACAGCGTACAATGCTGGGGAGGGAACATTAGTATGGAAAAGCTTTGTAAACATTTAGTTTTACTGTTCCCACTTGCATCATGCATGCCTGTTTTGATTACAGAATCTTAAAGCTGCCCAAGAAGAAGCGGAAAAAGCCTTTGCGATGACAGAGAGGGAGAAAGTTCTAAGAATGGCTGCCGAGCAAAAACTCTCTTTGGTTTCAAATCCAAAGGATCTGGATACAGTTGCAGGAAATGAAAAAGACAGGTCAGCTTCTTCGTCATAATGTTTCTGATCCATGGAAATTTATTCACCGTGCAAAAGTGTGAAGACCAGTCGATGCAAAATATAGATTTTTTTTTTAAAGCCTTGATCTCTACCTTCAGATACATGAATGTTACTACATGTCTTTTAAGTCAGTTATTGAATAAAATATAGCAGCTGGTCTTACAAGCTACATGTCTGGTAGCAAAACAGAAGCTTAAATGCACCTGAAAGTGGAAGAGTGGATGTGCAAGTGATATAAAAATGCTTTAAAGTAAATAGCTGGCTATGGTGGTCGTTATTCTTATTTATTTTTGTGCCCATATAATGCTTATTTTGCCATTGTTGAATGGGGATTGCAGTGTGTACGCTTGCATTCATTTGCTGCTTTCATGTATTCATGTGCTATTCAGTCCCATTGACGCATCCATTGAAATTTAATAATTTTAGCAGAAATTGGCAGGATTTTTAATGCTTTTGCTTAGTTTTTTTGGAGAGTGCTAGATGTGAGTTGTTGGTAGGTGAAAAAGTACCTGCATAGTGAGCTGGTGCTCAAGAAGCAGTTGGAACTCGTGTGTAAACTTTTGGAAGAGAAAGTCGCACTCTGTGCCTTTTTTCCCTTTTGGTATTAGTGGAAGATGCATTCAGTTAGCACAACTCCATACGTCTGGCAGATTCAGAACTGTCTTGAGGGCCTACCAATCCTTAAAGAGTGCACTTTTCTATTCTCTGCAGGCATGCAAGGATTCCTGTAAGCTACACTGTGCAGATGCTTCACAATAGTAGTAGGTGGAAAGTTACATTGGTCTGAAACCTCAAATGTCCTGTGTTTGGAGTAGTGCTCAAAAGGGACGGTGAGTGCTAAGGGACCTGTGACAAGTTTAGGTGCTCTAGTCCATTAACTGGGTTGAAAGCTGTAAATCTGAACTCTCCTATGGCATAAGTCATTTGGTTATCATCTTTCTTTCAGCCCATACCTCTCTTTGCCTATATGATTTTAACAGCTGCTGTCCCAAGGCACTTGAATTGGAAACAAATACTTTGTCATGTTATAAATTTACTTTGGAAACTTTAAACTGCAGCTTTTATATCAAGCAGAGAGTAGCTTGTGTGGGAGATGATGACGGTAATGGGAATGTCTTCATTTATGTGATCCAGTATCCATGATATTCCACGGTTAGACGATGGTGGATCAGAGTAAGTGCTTTTAAGGCTAGAAAACTAGAGCGCTGAATAGTTCTGTCCTTGTAGTAAACTAAATTTCAAAGCCTTACCGGACCAAACGCTGCTGGTGACCCATGATTTAAGCTACAGAGCAATAGTTCCTTGTACATTGTACTATGATGTAATATGCAAAGTGGATCTCTTGGACCTCTAGTGTTAGTTCCTTCATTATTTTGACATTTAAAGAATTTCATTTTTGCATATTTATAGGAAAGACTTTATGGGCCTTGGTGGCCATCTGGCTATGAGTTGGGAACTGGTGCCTCGTTAAGCCAAGAAGTTGATTGCTTTGATTTTTATCGGTGGAAGTGATTTGGGTGTCAAGACAAGTGCTTGGGTAAAGGAAGGGTTGTCATTGAGCTTTGTTATTGCGCTATAACTAAGAGAAGTGGGACTCTTGCTCAAATTTTCAAGTTACGTTTGAATGGCTTGTTCAGCATTAAGTTGGCAATTGGCAGGAAGTGAACCGCGCTGATGGCTGTTAAGTACTAGAAAGCTTTGAAGTACAGTTTTCTCTGCTTTGAAAATGTCAAGAAGAAAAGGCTTAAGCAGCAGGCTGCTTTTGGGAAAGTTGTTCCCAAAAAAACAAAATGGAGAATACTTGATTGTTATTTAGCTGTTTGCTATAAATTATGGTACTCTTTCTGGTTATTGTACAGGGGGAGAGGAATGAGGTTGATGCTTGAGAAATGCTGTTTGGAGTTTGACCCTTGGGAGGTGCTCCAAAAAATCTACTGTAATGGCTTGAGATCTGATTTTTAGACGATGATGATATACGATTAATATTTAAATCTTGTAATTTTAGACTTATAGAGCAACTGAATCTGTCTTTGAAAAGTAAAGAAGCTATAATTCAGCACCTTGAAGCGGAAAAGTCTCAAAGTGGACCTTTTGATGGGAGCTTGTCAGCAGAAAAAATCAGAGAACTTACTGTTGCTTTGAGGCATGAAAAAGATAGTGAGATAGAGGTGAGGAAACCAAACAGTTGTACATCGCAAATCTCACATGGTCTAGGATTTTAAAGGTCTTGAGCATAACGCTAAACAAGTGACTCTATTGTAATACAGATCTCCTCCGAGTTGTCCCTGACTCCTCAACTTCATCCTGCTCCATTCATTGTTCGTATCGTGGTTTTGGCAGCCAGTATTGCTCCTTGCTGTCCAGATCATAGTTTTTATTAATTTATTTTGTATTTTTACATTTTTTTGCACACAATTTACAGCTTTTGTTTAATTATCTTATAATAGACACACACATCTGCATAGATGATTTAAACTGAAATGAATAAGCTTTCCGTTCTTATTAAGACCTTTTCTTCTTCAGTAGATCATTTTCCCTGCGTAACATAGAAAATCATTTTGAAAGTTAAAGTGTCTCTTCACTATTACGTTCTGGAGGAGAGGTTTTGGTAGTGGAGGTAGGCATAAGTAGGACTCCTGTAATAAAGGGAAGGTGTAGATCCAGATTCTACAGTGAAAAATGATCTACCAGCACCTGTCTATTTTTACTTCTCTGTAAAGAAAAAGACTGATATCTTGGAGACTGAAAATCAGAAGTGAACTTAAGGCTTGTTTTCTTCCCCCCTCCTCCTCCACCTTTTCCCTGGGTCTTTGCAAATAATATAAATGAAGATTGACGATGAAATGCAGATAATAAATCATGGAAGCTGTCAAAGCTCCTGAGAAATCTTGTTTCTGCATTTTTGTGCGCAAAATACTATTTTTGGGTATGTTGTTCAGAAAAGCAACCTTTCCTCCTTCTTTGCCAAAAACTGGAAAGTGGAACGCTTCTCAGGATTGGTGTGAATAACGGAATTAAAAGATCAGAAGCGCACAGAAATGAAAGGATTGAAAGCTTTCATTAACGTGTCTTGGTTGATGAGAAGTATTGTTTGAGGCCCACAAAACCTAAGGGATATCTTTTTAAAATCAGTTTATGGGAAATAGGCAGAAATTGGTACCTTTTTATTCTTATATGACCTTGCCTTTGTTCACCTCAAGTATCCTTTTGTTGAGATGTCAGATTTCTCTTCACAATTACTAGTATTGTTGGAACAATAAATAACTTTTGCCCTTCTCTTTTTAAAGATGTGTGGATGTGTATCCTTTCTTGCCTCTAAGTTTCTATGTTTTCTGGGGAAAATTACTAGAAAAGGAAGAGTCTTAATTAAATTTGAGCAGTTTCAAGTAAATCTACTTGAAAAATGTATCCTGTTGTCATAGATAACCACTCCTTAAAAATGCATTTTTGTTAACTTGTCAAGCAGAGTTGTCATGTCTCATCAAGAAACCTGGCTTTTTTTAAAGCTTTCTACAATGATTCTGTAGAAATCAGACTTATAATTGTTTCCTGGGAGTCTGCTATATATTTTTGTCAAAATGTTGAAGGTACTATAACTATAAATATTACAGTCAGAGTTGGTTTGGAGGAATTACTCCTCTTAAGCTCTAAAAGAGAACCTCTATTTCGTTCGTCTCTCTTAATCCTTAACGACTGAATCTGCATACTTCGAGTAATTTTACCTTGGGTAATGGCTATTTTCTTCTTGTAGGCTCTTAAAATGGAACTTAGAAATGAGAGAAATTTCTTTGAAAAAAAAATCCAGGTATGTTAAATTTTTGTTCCTATTTATTTGAGCTTTTACAACTTAAGCATTTTTGTAAAGCACTCAAAGGTAGAGTGGTCTTGATTCATGTTGAAACAAAGAAAACCCTTTTTGCATTATGAGGCAGACTGCAGCTTCAGTCTATTTCCAAGCAGTTTTCAGGATAGTAAGTCGCAGCACTCCTTAGATATTGAGACGTGCGGCACGTCTGATACTCATGCCATTCTGCTATATCAACTTTCCTTCATATTTCTGTTCCAAATATCTGTGAAGACAGCAGAGTTGGATTTGTATTTTGTTTTAGTGGCTAGACTAATAAGACGGTGTGCTCAACAGAAACTCTGCATTTACATTATATTTTAGCATGAACTTGCCTAATATAATGCAGCTTCCATGTAATCCAATTTAGTCTCTTCAAGAAGAACTGCAGGAGAGAGAGAGTGAGCTTGCTGTTGAAAAGAAAAATGGTTTGAAAAGGGATAAAACAATTCAAGGTCTAACGCTTGCATTAAAAACAAGGGAGAAAGAGGTATGTTGACTAGTTTGTTTAAAAAAAAAAAAAAAAAAAAAAAAAGGGGGGTTTTTTGGGGTTTCAAAAATTTTTTTTAAAACAAGTGGGCTTTTTTTTTTTTTTAAAAAAAAAAAAAAAAAAAAAAAGGCAGGCTATTTAGGGCCTGATCAAATGTTATTGAAGTCACTAGGGTCTTTCATTTGACTTCAGAAGGCTTTGAAATCAGTCCTTTAATGCAAATCTGTGTTTCTGAGGAATCTTATATGTAATGGCTTGCTACTTTAAAATGGTGTGCTGTCTAGAGATTTAGTTGTTTGGCTATGGAAAAAGGTTAAATGGCTGAATTGATGGACTTGCTCTTGAGGATGAGAAAAGAACAGTTTGAGCTGGCAGAAAATATAAAGAAAGCACTTTCCATTGTGGTGCCAGTGGAATGTGAGCTTAATAAAAGCTGCATTAGGAGAGACTACCTTCAAATGAAGGTCAGATGTGTATGGAAAATTTTAGTCGTTTATGTACAGTTACAATACTGTTGCTTTACATGTCAAGTTCAGTTGGACATTTCCAGTGCTTTATGAAGTTCTTGGGTGGTTTCTTTCAGTAGGGTGAAGGGATAATGCAGTTTAATTTATAATTGAACCATGGCCATTTAGAGAGAGTTTTTTGACAGTGTTACTTGTGACTATTCATGCTTTCATGAATTCTCTTTTCTGTTCTAAGAATGAAGAACTTGGTTCTGAAATTGAAGATCTAAATGTTTCACTGGTTAACGCAAGAGAAGCGACTCACAAAGCTCAAATCCAGAAGTTCAAGGTAAGATGCAAATGATTTAAATTACTTCCTTTGCATGGAAATATTGAAAGACATTTCACTGTAACAGCAAGGAGGAAGAAATTAAAACTAATTTAAAATTTTTAATTGTCCTCATTGTGAAGCAAATTACCTAAAGTAATTCAACTTAAATGATAGACTATTGAAAGTAGATTTCTTACTATTTATCTTGTTTTTCACGTGTCTTTTTTTCTTAGTAGCGTCTCTGAGAATAAATAATTAATTCAGAGGGAGAGGAAACCTCTTATGCAAAATAAGAATATATTTTCAGAAATCGCCAACATTACTATGGTAACTCCAAAGTTAAACCCCTGTTTCAGACTTGGTTTGTTGATCTCAGAAATGTTGAGTGAAACTTAGTGTGCATAGTGACACCAATCTGTACCATGATGGGGGAGGTTATTTTAGTGGCTTTTCTTATTACTTTTTCTTTCCTGGCTTTTTCATCCACCAGGAAATGCCTCTTGAGGGATTTTGCAGGGCTATATTATTGCTTCTCTCCATGTATGTGAGACCACTAGGGGAGACAATGCAACATTTGGGGTTGTATTGCTGTAAGTATAGTGACAGCACACAGCTGTCTCTTCTTCATTAGCAGACTGGGAGTGGGTGTGTGAGACTTGTTTGGGTTTTATTTTATTTTTTTGTAACAATGTGAAATGTTTGTTAGAAAACAGTGGAACATTTGTTAGAAAACAGTGATTTAATAACACTTCCATGTGGGCAGAGGAGGAAGGGCTTAATGATGGTAGTTCTGCACTCTAAAGGCCTTATTTTGTGAAATAGTAGGTGCTTCATAAAATGAGAATTGGAATCTACAACTTAAGTAATGTATTTGCTTTTATGTTTTTGGATTTGTCTTGAGAATGACTTATTAGTTTTTTGGGTTTTTTTTTCCAACTTGAGTAACTAAAATAACATTTATAGAAAAAAGTTGCTGAAGTTCTGTCATGATAGTCTGGTCTCCTGCATGAGCAGAGTGGAAAGCTATGGGACATGTTAGATGCGCTAATGTCGGTGCATCAGATTTTTCTGAGTGGCTCGAATCATTGTGACTACCTCCATCCTTGCTTTTGGATTGAAATGCATCAGTTGTAGTCTAATGGAACAGCAGCTTTAAAATTTAGTATTGCTTTATGAATAGATGCATCAGAGACATGCCATGCAAATTGAAGAAAACAAACAAACGCCATCCGTAGGGTTAAATAAAAAATGTCTTTTAAATCCATTTTAAATCTTGGCATCTGAGTAAATAGGTGGGTTAAGAGTTTCAATTCTTTCAGTTTTATACAAGTAAAGTCTTATTTGGAGATCTACAACCCTCATGCTTCCCGTTTTTTAAGCACACATGATTCTCTACAAGGTCCAAAGTTGAATTGAAATCTAAATTCACCTGTCTAGAGAACCAACACAGCAAAGTGGGAGCCAGGCCAAGCCTTTCTCTTCTCATTATCCTGCCAAGTAGTTTCATTCTTGACCTGGAAGCCCCTGTGCCCTCCCCCAGTAGTGCGAGTAGGTCAGGCTCCATGTCCCATTCCTTTGCTGTGTTCAGTGCTGTGATCATCAGTAAGGAAGCTGACTGTAATAGTGTGCATAATGTCAAGCGGACAGAGACCATATTTTCCTCTTCATATATGCAGCATGCTCTTAACTTGGTAACCAGTTGACCAAAGTCAAACCAGCAATGTAAAGATGAAAAGCTTTATGCATTATTATCCTTTCCCTAAGCCCCCAAAATAATTTCATTTTCACTTTGTACTTTCTGTAGCTCAGACTTTATTTCTTAAACATTAATTATTCAGATTTCTTGTTATCCCAACCTAGATCTCATTTGGAGTCCTTTTATCCCATTATTTTAGATAATCAAGAGACTATTTGATATATTTCCCATGTTATTTGGGGAATTGAGATTAAACTGAAAAATACAGTGCAAAGGTGAAACTAATGAAGGGAGTTCAGGAAGAAAAGTAGGTAGGAGTATAGGCTTCCAGCCATGTGAAATAACTATATACTATGAATGTTGCTTTTTATTCTAGGGGGCTGAAGATTATCAAGCGCTGTTGATGGAAAAAGAGGCCCTCCTAGCAGAGCTGCGTTCAGAAAATCTGACAAAAGACACAGAGAATCGTAAACTACAACGGAGGATTAAGAGGACTGATCAAGAGCTAAATGATCTGAATCTAGAAAGAGAGAAAATGGAAAGGGAATTGGATGAAGCTCAACTCCAGAAGAGCAGATGCGACAAAACCATTAATGTTGTTATCACATTTTTTCCCTACCTTTTTAAAGTTTTAATAGAGCTGATGTGGTTTCTAGCATGTCCTTTCCTCTGTAATGAATTAATTCACTGTTCAAAGGATAAAGCCCAAAAGTGGTGTGTGTTTTGCCTGTCCTTAAATTGTTCTAGCTGACTGGAACACATTCTAAAGATTTTTAATTTGGCCTGTGGTTGAGTCCTGTATAAAATAGGAAACGGAAAAGTTCAACTTCAGTCCTGCTACGGGTGGAATCTCTAGCTCCTCTAGTATTGTATATTTTATAACAATCATATTATACCTGTCAGGCTAAATATATTTTGTAAATTATCTTAAATGACATTACATCAGTGCTGGAAAAAAAAAAAGTTTAAATCTGAGCAATGTCAGAATGAGTTAGCCAGGGGTTACCATTGGGAACCAAACTCCCACGTGCTATTACTAGTGCACCTTGTTCTCTGTAAACCCTGTACTCTTCAATCTCAGTTCCTACTTGTAAAACCTCAAGAGCAAAGGATTGGCTAATCACGATACAGAGCGAGCCTCAAGTGCTAGCTGTGTTCATTAATTTCTTTGCTGCTCTCTACTTGATGTTTGGCACCTTTCACCTTTCTTTAATGTCAGGATCAGCACAGCCAGCTTCAGCAAGCATGGCAGCAAAGTGAAAGATCAGGTTTCCTCTTTTTACGTTAAAGATGAGCTGTACTGAATGCCTGTCTTAAAGCACACTTTTTTCCTCTTCCCCTGTGTCTGGTCACATGGATTTTACTTACGTCCTGTCACCACCTGTTTTGGCAAAGACCAGGTTCTTCAGCTGTAGCGGCAGCATCAACTGAAGGGATGAACCGAACTTCTCTCTTAGTTAGGGAAGGTTGACTTGTAACAGCTTTGGCACTGCCTTTTAAATAAGATTTACTTGGAACCATGTTGAATAACATAAGACAGAATGAGCTTATACTTGTAAAGAAAAAAAAGATTTTATTAAACAGATTTAATCATGGTTAGTTTTACAAGAAGAGTTGTGTTTTAGCAGAGGCTAACCACGTGAGGGCATCTGTTAGGCTACGCTCTGTGTTAAAACAACTTCTGGTGGCGAATGCTATTTTTTGAGCCTTATATTCCATTTATTAAGCCAAGGACCTCTCAATGTACTAGGTATGGATGAAAGTTGCAGTTGGTCTCCTGCAATATTACATAAATCCAGTAGAGGGGTCTCTTTCCTTACAAACATAGTCTTTTCACCAACAAGATCTAGTTATTTGAGTTACAGCTTTGGTTGGATATCAGGTGTGGTTAAGCTGCCATCATGGTATCTTAGTGCATGCTGTTCCTTGAAATTTCCTCTGGGTATTGAGGTTAGGAAAAAGAGCAGATGACTCCTGTCAGTACAGCAGTCATAAAAAGCATACTTTTATTGATTTACATCATTTTACTTTTAACTCTCTTTTCTATTCAAAACCCTGTTTCTTTCTTTCTTTTTAAGGAAGCTAGCATATAAATCTAAATAGGAAAGGCAGGATTCAGGGGGCTTCAAAGTTGGAGCCATTACAAATGTCTATTCAACTCTATTCTGTCCAAGTTCCTCATGTAAATGATTAATTCCTTGGGGAAAAATGTCTCTGCCAAAAGATGAGCAATCTTCTAAAAATTACATCCTTGACCTATCTTCCATTCCTTGCACAATGGCTGCTTCAATTTCAGAGCTGCAAGTACATTTGGATATAGCAATGCCTGTGAAATGTTACTCATTAAATAGTTGGTATGTGGGCGTAAAAAATGTACTGTGATATTTTGCTCTCTGACAAATGGAAAACCACTTTAGTGATCTGATGCAAACTTTATATGGGAACAGCCTTAAAGATGCTGTTCTGTTAATGTTTTCAGATATGTCTATTTAACTATATCAGTCTATAAAACTAAACCTAAGAAAATGGTTGTGGAAGGCAGAGACATTCTTCCTCCAAATCCTTAATTAGATGCCATCTCGGCTGTTTCCAGTTTTTTTTATTAGGATTTTTTTTTTTTTTACAATCTTTCACACAGCATAACTGTAATGATATCTGTTTCTGTGCAGAACTATGTAGGGAGACAGGCTTATGATGTTCTGTGACAGAGAGGAAAACCCAGGAAAGTTCCTTCACCCTGCTTTCCCATTCTGAACTTGCCAGGTCACCACTTTGCACAAGTCTACCCCATTCTACTAATGGGGGCAGAAGCTAAATTAAATGTAGGTGCAAGCCTGTTTGGATGGGATCTGTTTCTGAAACCACTGGCTAAAAATTTTAGCAGTACTAAAAATTTTCTCCCTAGATAAATGGCATAGATAGTCTCCTCAAAATGGCTACTCTGTCCTGGTTTTGCACCTCTGCTGTTCACTGGATTATTTAAAAAACATGCTCCTTCCTGTCCCCCAGAGAGTCCCTTTATAGTCGCAGGCACCTCAGTAGCTATAGATTTATCTCCTTAGGAGGAGCCATTTTTTAGATCAGCATCATTATCAGTTCTGGTAGTTTGCTAAAACCGACTAACTGATGAGACAACTTATTTAACAAGCTGTTTCCTATAGAACTGACTAGGAGGAAAAATCAGCACATTTAAAATGCCACATGTGCCTAATGCTGCGTATGCATATGGAAACATGGTCTCAGTATTTCTTTGGTAAAACTTAAAATCCAAGAACTTGTTTAGCCTTTGATGAAATATCTTATGTAGCTTTTCTGTCCTGGCCTAAATTCATGATTAAGGTATATTTATCAGTTAGTTGGGAAATGAAGAATAACTTGTTAACCAGAATTTACCTCGTCTGCTCTCTCTGTTATATGGAAAGGGAGGTTTTTGGCACTTCAGGCTTTAATTATTCACCAATCTGTTTTTTCTATCTGACAAGGAGGGGGAGGCACCTGCTCCAATCTTCAACCAACATTATAGTGTTTCACATTCATTTTTTCTTAGTTCAACTATCATGAATCATAGAAAAGTCCCCTGAGAGGTTGGCAGAAAGGATTGCGAAAGTATGCTCTCAGTGCATAAACGAGAGCATATAGGTATTATATTGTCCTTGCAACTCAATGTATAGAAACCGATAGGCTTTCTTTTGGCCAGTTCGAGTGGTCAATGAGTTCAAGCAATCTGCTACAGTGATGGATAGTTTTGTGTGTTACAGCAAACTAACTCATGCAAAGACAATAATTTTCAGTTCCAATCCTGGCTTAGTCTGGCAAAAATTTGGGGATCTCATAGGCAAAGCAAGTGCTTCCAAAGTATCTATAAAATGGCTGTCCCACAGAATGTTTCATCTCCTCTGTTTAGAAATGATTACACCTTGTCTGTTCAATTCCTCCCCGCCCTTTCCCTTCCTTGACCATAACATCTGTGTCACTCAAGGAGGAGTCTCTATGTTTCTTCCACAAGGACTGATTTTTACACCTATACTGGTGCTGATATTGTGGGGGAAATAGTACCATTATCTTTACTACCACAATCTCTTTTTCTATCTAGGCATACTTCTCTCCATAAAACTTTCTAACTTCTGTTTGTCAAAGATATGGAGTGCTGGATTCCATTGGGGTTACACAAGACAGCCAGATCATAGCTATTTAAAGTCTCAGCTGTCAAATAAGCAGTGTATTTGTTAAAGCCTCAGTGTAAAAATAAGAGGCAAGGAACTGTGGAAGGTATAGTGAAAAGCATGACTTTTCAATTAATCCTTGAATTCCAGTTCATGATCTACATGTGACCCAATTAGGAGCTTCATGACATGGAACCAAAGGCTCTTGAAGCAGCTCTGAAATGTGCTGTTTCCATATGACGGTGCAGTCTGTAATAATGAAATGAAAGTACAAACATACACAACCCCCCAGTTGCAAGTGATGCAGATGGTATCTTAAGCTGGGACCAAGTTTGGGTTTGACCTTGCAAGTCTTATTCAAATAGCTCTACTCATGCAAGTCGCCCCATTGGTCTCCACAGGACTCTCTGCATTACCTAATTTGTAGAAATGGGGTCTGAGTTTGCCCAGTATTTCAGTTGTAGCAATTGTTTACCTTGAAGCGGCTATTAGCGATTTCTTAACTGACTAGTAATAAAACTACATTTAACGTATGGAGAAAGGCAGTCTAAATGACAATTTGGATGAAGCAAATAGAAGTAAAACACCAAAGCAATTAAAATAACGTTAAGGCTTTGATGTGAACCTGCATAATGCAAAGTCATAAAATCAAGAAAATAGCATGCAACAGTAAAGGGACTGTAATTAAAGTGTCACCAGTAATATTTCCCTACACTTCAGAGACATCTATGCTATCTTCTCACTGTTGTTAAATATTAACTTTAATTGTGACTACTGATTGTGCGATATATACAACATTTGAAACTCATACTTCATATTTTGCTACTTCTAGAAATGGAAGGAAGACAAATGTACCTAAAACTTATCCAAAGCCAACTTTTATGAGAAGATAATTGTATACACATTCTTGTATATACTTTATATCTCTTCAATTTTAGTCAGCTCTTCTGTTATCTTAAGTCCCTGCTTAGTTTCTGCTATAAAATACTTATCCCAAGTATTTTAGTTCTCCCTACTGTGAAGTAAAAAGGTTATAAAACTAGCAGAAGACAAAAGCCTCCCATCCTTCCCCCTTTAACATCAAAGAATGATGGGGCTGCAATGGGCCTTGAGATTATCTAGTCCAACTCCCTGCTCCAGGCACACTCCTATCTATGTAACCCATGCTAGACCTGCATTTTAAAACTCCTGGTAATGGAGGTTCTACACCCTCTTTTACAATAAATAGATTTTTTTTTTAACATCGCAGCAACCTATGAGAGGTGATGAAAGAGAAGTGCGATGGGGGAGAGGAAGCCTATGACGAATGAAGTTACTCTTACTAATTTTTCCCTTGTCCTATGCTCCTCTCCTCAGTTCTGTCCCTAGAATCTAAACGTTAATAAGAGGTACTTTATAGGACCTCACTTCTGCAAATGCTCCCTGTGTATGTTGTTTGGCCTCATGATTGGATCTGAGCTATTAGCAGTTAATACAAGACATTGGAGAAGGGATTATTGTATCATTGCTTGAAGCACAGCTTGTCTAAAGCCTTACCCCCCATAAGGCCACATCTTTAAATTAAGGATCAGTATAAGGGTTAAGAGAGAAAATAGCATTGGCTTAAATAGAAATGTAGCTTGCAGAATAAGGAATATTATTATTTGAATTATGGTAGTGTCTAGAAGCTCTAGTCCAGATCACATCTCCATGGTACTTGGCGCTGCACGTTAATAAAATAAAAAGAGGGCCTACCTAAAAGCTTAAAAATAGACAAGAAGTGTTTTTAAGGGGAAACTAAAGCATGAAGAAATAAAGTAGCTTGCCGAGGATTGTGCAAGAAGTATTTGACAGAGCTGCAAGTTGAACCTATGTCTCCCGAGTCCCCTTCCAGTACTGTAATCACAAGGTTAACCTTTTTTTCTTGGTTGGTAGTTTAGAGTTTCTGCTAGTGGGGAGGGGAAAGGTTTTAACGCTCCTGTTCTTTTTGTTAATATAAGGGCAAGTAGTAATACAAATTTTAGTGCAAGAATTCCTGTTGTATAAGAGGAGAAGGAAAAGATGACAACCTGAATTACTACTAAAGCAATTTTCCTCTATTTCTGGTGAAGGAGTAAATTGCTTTGATTCAGAAATGAACGTTCATTCCGACTGACAATGACAAAGCAAGTATGTGAGAGATCCTCGGCAGCCTTGGAGTCCAGTCATTCTGTATGAAAGGCATTAAAACAATAATACCATAGATCTGTAGAAGACAGTATTGACACCTCATTTAAAAGTTTCATTTCTTTAACTTTATTCTTAAAGTGTCAAGAGGAAGACAGTGGCTTAAATCTATTCTTTAGAACATTCAATGATATGAGTAATTTAAAGCAATGGGAAGTTAAGCTAATGACATAGGTTGTCAATCTTAAATTTTTTGTAAAGCTGATTTACTAAATATTCAGTTTCACTTTTTGTAGGACCTTAGAAATCAGCTAGAGAAATTACATGGTGAAGTGATTGAGAGAGAGAAAGCAGTGGAACATCGTTACAATATTCTTTTGAGTGAAAGCAGTCAGAAGTTACAGAGCCAAGAACTAGTTATCAAGCAACTAACAGACAGTGTCAATCAAAAGGATCTATTGCTTCAGGTAGGTAGACTCAAGCCAAAATGAAAAAATATCTTTTGATTTTTATATGAAGAACGATTACAGAATCCCATTTGTATTTAAATTAATGTTGATTTCTCTGATAATCCTTCACTCTTTGTAATACTGTATTTACAGAATAGATATACAATTACATAGATGTGGCATTCAGCAAGACTTCTTATTAGGACCTGGTGGGGGGTGGTAGAGCAGAAGGATCCAATGCTTGCATAGAAGTTTTGCTGTTGTAACAAGATGCTTTGAAAGCTCTAAAGCATTCACAGCCTGGAATTTGTTCCCTGGAAACTAGAGGTTAAGGAATGGGGCTAGACAGTGAAATGCCTTCTCATCCTTAGAAAGTATTCCCTTTAAAATGGGGCAAAAGTACACTGGAAGGAAATCAGTGGCATGCTTACGGTGCATCTCAAACCTCGTCTGTGGATAAAGGACAGGATCCTGGAATTTGTGCTTAACTACCATTGAGGTAGTTGGACAATTGATGTAGGCAACTACTTTTTTTTTGCTTCTATTTTGGTCTCGTGCTGGACTTCTCCAGACAACAAACAGTATGAACAATATGAGCCCAAAATATGTGTCTTCTGAAATTTGTATCTATTCTTTTTTTTTTTTTTTTTAACAATAGTACAATTAGAATAAGTTTTCA